GGCGGAGCCCAATTTGGAACTGAGCTGTGGGGGGGCAGCACAGTAAGGGTGTATGCATAACGCGGCAGCAGCTTGGTGCATGCCGTTCTGTCGCCGTTCTCCGGGGGATCTCGAAGATGAGATGCCCAGTGCGTCAAACACCCTTATTGGGTCGCCTTCTGGGGCGAAGAACAGGACGATATACTCCGAGATTGGATGGAGCGTTGTGATGTCTGTTGATGACATGTAAAGTTGCTTGACGGTGGTAGCTGTTACACGCTTCGACTTGCCCTGTTGCCCATGCCAAAGGTCCTTCTGGGCGTTCGTCTCAGTCGCAACCGGCGCAGGCTCGGAGCTGCGGTCTCTTGTCGGCTTCCAGCAAGAAGAAGTGCCCAAGCAATATGACGAAAGTGATGACTACGTCGCACAGGCTTCGCGTGCTTCCGAATCCCACGAACTTGGGTAAGAGTTGCCAATGCTACTCAACCCCAAAAGAAGCTGTCTGCCTTTGCTGTTCTTTCCGTATGTATTTCGTTACGGACCACACCTGCAACTAATGGTATGCAGGATAGTGGCACATTCACCGCGTGAGTGCAGCTTTGGCAGGGGGTCGTTGCCTTGCCAGGCTTGCCCGGTTCCAGGACCAAAGCTAAGGTGCTCCGCAGTGCCAACAATAGAAGCCTCCACGAGTCTTGCTTGCGAAAAAACGGGCACCTTACGTCAAAACTGGTGTGACGGGTCTGTCAGCTGTCAATGGTGGTTGGACGTCTTCTGGATAGACTTTAACTCGGTCGTCGGCCGGAGCTAGGGCGAGGCAGCTAGACATCCTACACTAGGACTTAAGAGATGCTGGTGGGATCCTGTACGCACTTCCCAACCTAATTTCCGCCAGAATGGCCAATCCCTCCCGTCGCTCTTGATAGACGGCATAGTTTACCGATATGTATCGAGGAACCTTGCGTCGGTTTTGCGATGCTCTGCTTTGGTCTATGGCGCATTCAGCTAGCCGGGATGGGGAGTGGTGTGGAACAATATGCGAGAAAAGGAGAGAAAGAGGGAGGGGGAGTAACATGGGATTTGTCGTCTTCTCCAATTTTCCCCAAATCTTGTGATGGTGGACTCTCAATCTGGGGTGGGATGTCGCGGACAAGTATCCGATGAGAGATGGTGTTGGTCTAGGCCGTGGGGTCTGATTCTGCAACATTGGCATAGTGGAACACATGGGAACTTTGTGTCTTCTCGTCCGCCCATGTCTAGTGAACTTCGCAAAGACCGACGGTTGAATACCTTGTTGCTCCTTGCTCTTGCAGGATCCGTACATTGCACGGATCTTCATCTGATAAGCGGTGGCCCTGCCAGTCTGTCAAATGTCTTTCGCCCCCACCACAGCCACGACTCAAACATTTGAGGCTTGGATATTTTGCATTGTATCTAGTAAGCGATTAACCTCATTGAAAAGAAGAGAAACGTTGCCTCATTCCTGGAAGGACCCATTGACCAAATTGCGAGGAAAGTAGGATACTGAGAATGAGTAAAGAGCTTGTCCATTGGCGTTCAACGGGACAACATGAGTGTGATGTGACCTTTGTAGTGGAGTTCCGCCGCACTAGCGGCTGTCATTTTCTGGTTGCAACGTTTTGCCGGCTTTCCCTACCAAGACAACTTCCTTTGGACCTGATGCGCCGTTTCGAATTGCTCATCACCGTTATCATAGCCTCGGTATTCTGTTCTGCGAGTCGGAAGTAAGAGGCTTGAGTGAGTCGGCAAACGCCGCGTCCATCTTTTTGCTGCAATATGGACTGATCTGCCGCTTCTCGCAAGCCGTGAGGTGACCTCGTGGTGTCGATCTCATCGTTGTCACCTCCAAATAACCTTAAGGTGAGGCGCCCGAAGATCAGCATTCCTGTTCCTCCCCGGATCCGAATCCTATCGCTCGCAGCCCGTGCTCCCGGGTGGAACTCCACAACGGAACTCCCGAAAACGGTCTCTTATGCTTCGCCTTTGGTTGAAGTCCGCTTCCCAACCGGAAATAGCAGGCCATTGTGACGATTATGGCAGCGGGAGGATGCCAATAGTTTGCCGCTCGTCGCATGATTTCTGCGAGATTTGAAGGGTCAGTTTCGCCGCGGGCCGTTCGCTATTCTCGAGATCAGGCAGCCATATATTGTCCCTGTTGAAGTCTTCTCGACCCCATTCTCCGCTTCCGAGTTCAGCGGAAGGGCGGGGTTCTGATGCATGGCTGTATTATTCTTGGTGTATTTTCGAACCCTAGACTTCCACGACTGTACGAACATGCCAATCACATGCCCAGCTTTGTTTTGCCATGTTGCAGCCGTTAGCGTTACCCGCGGCCCCATGTCCCTTGGAACCATACTTACGGGGATTCAGGCGTTGTCAGGGCGTTCGAAGGGTAGTAGCCCCCATAATGCGAAGGAGACTGGCTTGAGAATTCAGGGTCTCTGTTGCCTTAGTATTGGTGAGTGACGACAGTCGTAGACTGGTTTGTCTGGTCTCGAGAAAGGGCAGAGTAATCCATGCTCGAGAAGATGAGACTCAATCCTTAGAGCTGGATTGATGACGGACGGATGAGGCTATAGCTCGGCAGAGTCAAGTCTATTTTAAAAGCTGCCGGCCCACCTTTCGCGACAGAGCTAAGTAAATTACGGACAGCTGAGCGAAGATTCACGAACGCAGGCCTCGGTATACAATTGCCGCAGCACTCTGCTACAGACCCCGGGCGAGAAGCAGAACGATAGAGTCGAATGAGATACCAAGGTCTCGTCCGTCGATATATCCATGGCGGTGCCTCTTAACTCGGCGTTCGCCCGCAACATGTGAGTTGGTGTTTCCAATGCGACGGGGGAATACTAGCTTAGCGGAATTCCGTGAGAAACTTTGGGTCCAATCTCCGTCAATTCTTTGATGGGTAGGTGTAGGCGCGCTGTCGGCTGTAGCAAAAGAAAATTCTCTGGAAAAAACAAAGGCCAGTTCCCTTCATTGTATTTCTGCTAATAAAGTGATTGCTTGCCCAGGCAAGAGCTAGACAAGATGGTGCCATCAATTGTTACCACGGAGGGAAATACTCGGTTGACTTGATGAAAGATGTTCTGTCCCTGAGATTCGCGGAGCATGAGAGGCAGACATATCTTCTTGTCCAGGTACATAAGCCTTCGCTCTTCATGGCGTGCATAAGCCAGGTGTCACGAAAGGCCAGGGAAGGAGGGTAAGAAAAACATGAGCTTGAGATATGGCAGAATGTATTTCATCCACAAAGATAAGGGCTGCTTCTCAAGATCATGGTTTGACGGATGCCGGCATGCTATCCCGAAATGCCGCAAGCTGCAAAGGGCTGTCACACTTTGTGCCGGCGGCCACATGGTCATTGAGCTGTGCCTGCCCTGGAAAGTGAGGACCATGAAATGACGGAGAAACTCGCAAAGTTCTGCAAGGCTCTGTCCTTGAGGCCATGGTTCGTTGTTGGCGACCGTATGTTGTTTTTTGTTGTATCTGAAGGTCAGAACTGGCAGTCGCAATGACCACACCAGCAGAATCATAGGTGGAAATCGCTTCTCGAAGACGAACAGACCTATGCTGTCTTCAGATGATCTCAAAACATTAGGCCTGTACGGAGTACATGTTATGGTCGATTGCGCGCCTTACGCTGCCAGTATCCTGAGTATCGATGAAAAAATGCGAACGGTCTTGATTTACCAGAGCTCAAGTTCTGAATGTTCGGTGCTCTTCAAAATTCCGAGGATGCAATGCGACGTTAAACAGTTGACATGATGTGGGATTCCCGCATCTTTGCTGCATGGTATAGCAGCATGAACGGTGGCTTAACGAGCACCGTTTTGCGTCGAGACTTTGAAGTTTGACGATTTGTCTCGGGGTCTGCTGGGGCAAGCCACATGGTGGTTTCCCACTATAGATTAGGCAGAAGGAATCTTTGCAAGTTAGTGTCAGATTCCGCTCTGCGGCGCTCAGGCTGTTGAACCGCTGGTAGGTGGCTGGCAGCGTTTTCTTCGTCCACGAAGACCGTCTCTCAGCCCAACTATTTTCCGAAAAGGGTAATTTTTATTTGCCCCAGTACTGGAGTTGCTTGGATGAACATGCAGGGGGCACTGGACCCATCGAACTGCACCCGCCCACCCGCCTTTACGCTAAGCCGTTGTCATTCGCCCATACGATTGGTGAGAGCACATTTCGGTCCCATGCAGGTTTCTGGGTATGGCCCCAATCTCGACGATGAGGTCTCTCGGACCATCAGAATCATGGCCTTAGGGCTTGGGAGTATGTAACCGTTCATAGCAGTTCTGTGTTTGATCAAAAAGTCGTCTTACATCATAAGAGAGACCGACTGTGTGAGACTATGTGAGACTTTGGCGGCTGCGTTTCAAGTGCTCATTCAACGGCTTGAATCAAATTCTGTTGTTTGCACTTTCGTCGCTATTGGTGTAATGGAACTGCCAATACCGAAGCGAGCTTGGATGGATCCGTTGCTGGCTTCCAAGCAACTCGCTCCGTTTGCCATCTTTCTAGATGGGCGGTGGCTCTAACAATTATGACAGTCGGGACTTCCTGCACCGGATGCAATGATGCTGCTGAATCCGACCTAGTCGTGGTCCAGTGGCCCCTGGCTACCATCGTGGTATTTCTCCGTCCTCATATGCGCCCCAGTCAAGAATCCTTTGGTACGGCGTAGGAAGGCACAAAGCCCCCATCGTCTACCTATTTTCGGTTCACATCTGCGGACCCATGCTAATCGATTTGAAAAAGGTCCATGTCGTAGAAGGATGCAGCAGAAGCGGCTTCGGGACTCTGTTGGCCAAGTCCTAGCCCTATGCAGGGTCTTTGCGGGCGCGAGGGGACCATCACTCTCGTCTTTTTAATATGTTCATATGCTCGCCGACATGGGATCCTGATGCCCTGTTTTGCCCCGGCAATACCTCAAGCGAGGCGAGAAAGACATCCCCGGGGCGATTCAGCAGTCTGAATGGCCGTATCTCCATCATATGATCATCCTAGAGTTTTTGAAGTCCCGCTTCGGCCTGAGAGATGCCAGGACCGAAGCCAATCTTCCTGCTCATGTCGATTGCCTGCTGAAAACGCTTTCTTGCGTCCTCCTTCTTTCCCAGTAGGGCAGCGATGTCACCCATGTTTGTTAATGCTACGGCGCAAGCTTCATCACACTCTTCAGTTCGGTCTTCTCCCTTGACATCCTTTGAATGTGAGTAGGCATTGCTAGCCCAGTTCTTCGCAGCCTCCAAGAGCCCGGCTCGGTCTGTCGGCATGTCGGGACTGACTATTGCGTCGGAAGTGGCAGGCGCGTTGGGAATGGCGTCCAGCGGAGTCTGGAGGGGATGCTGAGCAAACGCTGCGGCCAGATTGTTCACTAGACAGTGTGTCAGTATGACCTATAAAACATACTTGAACTTTAAGCCCAGGGGCCTGAGAACATACTGATAGTTACTCGGTGACAAGGGCTAGCACAAAGTCGTAATGCCTGGAATAAGAGAGGTACTGCCAGATGAAACTGGGATTTAACCTCGTAGTGCTGGGCGAGGGCTATTCAACTATGTCAGCAACTTGAAAGCGGATACGATATAGGGGGCTTCATGGGAGACCAACACTCCATGGCACCGCCAATTTCTTCTGGGCTCATCCAAGAACCTTCATCCTTCTTGATACCTTCCTTGTGGCGTCGTTTTGACTCTGTCAGTGCCGTTTCGACGGCCCACGTCAGTCGGGCCAGAGAGTTTTCTGGCTCCATCACATGCTCGTCCGAGTAAAGGGCACCAAGCTTGGTGCTAGTTCCGACGGCTTTGGCTAGAAGGCGAGTGCGCTTATGCCACAGGTTTTCGACAGCCTTCTCCTCGCCATTCTCCGGAACTGCGAGTCGTTGATTTTCCGACGTAGGCTTCGCAGCAGGCGGCTTTCCTGACTTGTCTACTGTTCCATCTGCAATGGAGTTCTCCATCCATTCCACCCACTTGAGGCAGTCTCTGAGCACAGAATCCAAAACGGTAATGGCTCCTTGGTAGTTTTCGATCTTTTCGAGCCATGCCGCGGTCTGAATCCTAATGCCCAAAACATCATCCGAGAACGGGTCTAGCTGGAGCTCATTGCACTGCTCCAGTGCTTGCTTGTAGTATTTCCTCGCGAGGTTCGGATCGGGGCTGATATTTGTGTAATAAAGAGCTCGACGAAGAGACTTGGCGACGGGCTTGGGATACTTGGTGAACTGACGGGCCATGAAGTAGTCGAAGTACAACTTGATGATGTAGATGGAAACACCTGCCAAGCCAGCAAGACTAAGAACTTCGGATTAGCTACTTAACCTAGTAACAGCGACGGCTTTAGATATCTCACATTGCTAGTGCTAGCACAAGCTCTTCTGGACTTTCTCTGAACATCCTCTTGATGCCTCTCGGCGTCAGGGAAGTTAAAAGCGAGCGAAAGGATATTGCCCTCAAAAGCTGACTTGCGGAAGGTGGCGGCGGTGGCGGCGGCGGAGGAGGAGAGACATTGTTCTTTTTAGAGCCATTATACGAAGGGTTTGAAGTGCTCTGGTGTCTCAATTGGGTATATCTGCACACATTTGCGGCATTCCGAGGTGTGCTTGCTCCTAAAGCTGCTGCGGACGTTCCGGGCGACCTTGCGATCTGGCGAAGCACCAGGCCATTGATTGCGCGACATGCCGCAATGCGCGACACGGCCATCGTCGTCATCAATTGAGAAGGAGATGCAGTATCGATTGCCTGAGCTCGGTTAAGCTGTGCGGTATGGGCCAATCTCGTGGGTCGGAGCGTGGTGGTTGATTGTAATCGGGCGGCTGTCAAGTGACGTATCGATCAAAAATCAATGAGAGTTTCGCCTGCATTGTTCGGCAGGTCTGGAGCTCTTGCTCTGGTGGGTCCATACTGATCAATGCGCAGCCAATTAGACGAAGGCAGTTACTCCGAGGCTCAGCCAGCAATGTCGCAAGTGTCCCCCCACCTTGATCGTGGGGAAGAGCTCCGGCCTCAGAGGGGCAAATACCGAGCTTCTCTCTCCCCGCCATCATCTACTTTGTGTGTAAGAACTCGACGTCTTCCTAACCATCGCACTCCATATTCAACATCAAATTGCTAGCTCAATAGCGCAAAGCTTCAAAATAGCTCAAAACACAGCAAAGATCAGCAAAATGTCTGGAAAATTTGAGCCCAAGAACCCCGTCACCCTGGCCCCTCCTAAGGATGACCCCATCACCCTCGAGGAGTTGGCTAAGGCCGATGGTAAGTCGAGTTTTGCCTTTCTTTTTCCACTATGAGACTCCCTGGCAGTATTTTCCTATCGCAATCGCCTTGAGGGACCGTGTTCGTTGTTAAAGCGAGCGGGGCTCAGGATCTCGCTCGCATATCTTGCACCACTCGTAGTTCATGAACCCATGTTTGCGAACGATGAACGGATTGCTACTTTGGGCCTTCTTTCATCAAGCGGTCTCGAACGTGGCTAGATGTATTTGGCCTCACATGCGACTGTCTTGTCATCATATAGAATCCACGCCACCAATCCTAACAATATCACAGGCTCAGACCCCAATGGAAAGACATACGTTGCGATCAAGGTAATGAAACACGCCGGCCTTTTACTTTTAGGGATTTCTCATGTTTGATAATACAGGGAATCGTATACGATGTAACGGGTAACAAGGCATACCAAGCAGGAGGATCCTACAACGGTAAGGAAATCACCCATCGCAATCCAGAGGCTATCATGATTGACAATCCTTCAGTTTTTGCTGGGAAGGACGCCTCTCGCGCTCTCGGGAAGACTTCAACAAAGGCTGAGGATGTCAGCGCCGACTGGCAGGATCTTCCTGACAAGGAGAAGGGTGTTCTCAACGACTGGATCACCTTCTTCTCCAAGCGCTACAACATTGTTGGCCGCGTCGCCGGCGCTACCAACTTTGAGTGAAGGTTACTAAAAGCTCGGTTTTGAAGCTCGAGTGAAGGTTGTGGGAGAAGTGGGAGGCCACGGATATCCGTCATTTGGGCGTGAGACGTTACCATGAGCGAGTGTAAACGTAAACCATAGACTGAATACCTTGCGCGAATGACCCTACGCCGAGAAATGAGAAGAGGGGGCATCTTAGGTGACTCTTGTTACTCTCATGTTGGGTAGCTCTATACAATCAGTGATTTCTAACTCATCTACAGCTGAAAATATATTCCAATGTCACCATGAGTTCGAGCCTTCATCGCAAATTACAAGGCTTCGATGTAAAGCTGCCTTATACTCAAGGAAGTGTGCGATGAAAATTCCCAATCCATCCATACACATGTGTTGGAATGAGTACTGCATACGTCGTTCATATGCGATGCCACTGTACTTGCACGACGTCGCGACACAGTCCCGGGCGTAAGTAGTTACCCCTCTATCGACGATCGGTGTAAGTTCGCCCAATCGCTCACGATAAATACTTACGTCAACTTGAGAGACAGCCATATTTCGGGCACCATTTTATATTGAATACGAGGACCATGTGGGTGAGCAGAGAATTCCCAAAGAATCAAGTCGTTAAACAAATGACAAATGACGTGTCCTGGAGTCACTGCAGGCTCCCAGCCATTAACATCATCTTGCGTTTCAGCTCTTGATCCCCTTTCCCGTGACTTGAATTGCAGAGAAGTGACCGCGTTAATAGTATCCCAAGGTCCGATTCATAGGAGCAGCTTAATCTCTGTTGTACCGTTGTACGACATACCTTGCAGAAGTACTTGTTCGTCGTGCTTACACCCTCAACTTGAGCCCGACAGCGTATGGTACCGTACCTGAGAACGGGTTGTTCCAAAGCGATTCATTATGAAAATTATGTTCTTTCACGACATGGAGTATGCTTCTCTCACATCTTGATGAGACGTAGAATGGACGGCGCAAGCCCTGAGACTGGATGAGCTAGTTGAGAAGGTGTCGAAGTACGGGACTCTACACTCTAGCAAACGACCTTTTAGAACTGATTTGATTCTTTCTGGCCTGAAAAGTAGCCAGTAACGCAGTTTGGCGGGTTATCGTTACGAAGTACAAACCTTATGGGACCTCAGTCTTCAGCGAAATGTGTAGATTGACAGCCTCTATAATAGGCAAAGCTTCTTCTCTTCGTTTCAGAGTCCAATCCGAGGTCATGAATACTGTCAACCAATGTGCCTACTCTTGAAAGATAGATGTGTAACGAATGCTTGCAGGATCACACGGGAGTGATTCTTGGTATCTTACCCTAGGCACTCCGGACTCAGACACTCCAGAAACATCAGACTAATGCCAATCCTCAAGTCACTCCGTGTTAACATCTTAACATGCATAAGCCCGCGTAAGATTTAGGTCGTTCCTACAAATATCTAGATTCATGTAACACAGCCTCTCAGGCTACTCATCATCCTGCTAAAACAGGGAAACGCTGTCATCCTACCAACTTCTTGTAAGAAATGAGAAAAGAGGACAACTACACTGAGCGTGACAACCAGATACTTTTCATTTTACCATCTTCCCCACAAATCAATTAAACCTAACATTCTGCGCGGAACTGAAACCCTTGCGGTCTCTACCTGTTAAAACATCTTCGAAAATCACAGTTTCTTTATAAACAGTCTGGCGTACATATGAAGGCACCGTCTCCACGATTTTCGCACTTAACCCAAGAAACACACTCCTTGCCACAGTCCACTGATGCACACGGGTACTGTCAAAAAATTGGAAGTGACTGGACTGACTTAATGACGACGCTGTTGCTGGCCGCCAATAAACTCTTGCTGGCGGTGCTGTCCGGCGGCGAAATGCGGGTGCCCCTGATCCTGCCAGGCCAAGATGCAATTATCGCAGGGGACGCTCTGCTGCCACGAGTTGCGAAGAACCTTGACGCCGAAGCATTGGTGGCCGGGATCGTTGCGGGCAAAGTGGCAATATGACTTGAGCCGTAGAACGGAATGGTTGCAGGTAAAGAGGAACTCCTCCCAATCGCACATCTTGAGACGGGGGTTTTCGGTGGGCAAGTGTTTTGCACTCGTTATTGTTCCAAACAAGCTTTTAAGAGCAGCTGAGATCTTTGTAAGCTCCCTGAAAACGTTGTGGTTACAAGGGATCGTTCACATACGCACAGTTTGGCCGTCCAGGTCCGTTTGGAGGGATGTCCTACGGCTGAGACTATTCGAATACAGCCTGATCTTCTGGAGGCGTAAAGGTTTGAGAAGCGAGGCCCAAGTAGTCTCGATCTGAACGAAGTCGACGATATAAGTGAAAGTAAATCTGATGGGGAACTCAGTGATTATTCTCTGGCGCGTTCGCCCAGTCTTATATACATCTCATACCCGAGCTTCAAGGTATCGGCCGCAACGACGTCTGTCATGTTTATCTGAGAACCGATCTACATATGGACGTAAAGGGCCTCGCTGAAGGACGTTGGGGAAGCCTGGGTACATGACACACTGTGCGTGTGTTGCTGACATATTGGTGGTATGCCATGTCGAGATGCCTGTTCGCGAGGAGGACCAGGTTTAACGTGGAGTGGTGGGGGCGAGACCACCCATTATTTACTCCTTCCGAGCTCCAAAAGCTATCTGAGGGAGACTAGCCTTTGACCATAGAGACGATGGATCATGCAGGCCGGAAGAGAAGACTGCATCCGCTGGCCGGGTAGATGACGAGAATGCAGGAACTACTTCGTTTCCCGGCACGAGGCGCTTCGAAGCCTGCCTCGGGCCTTCAGGTGGCAGAATGAAGTCACCAGTGGGCCAGACATACTGATGAAATGTCTGGATATTCCTTTCACGTACACGTCGCAAAATAGATTAGAGTTGAGACATCTTTAGTTGACGTGATGGCTTAGTAGTAGATGTTCATCAAGACGTCTTTAATAGCATCGATTTCACGATATTGAGCGGCATCCCGGAACCTCACTGGGCCATGCCGTCAAAACGCAGGGTTTTTGAGTATAACAGCAGATGTTTGCTATTCTCAACCGGACAGCGACTACCGTTGCTATTACCTTGTCAGTTGCCAGTGGTCGACACTCTTGGTTATTTCCTCTCATATCGCATCAAGTTCGTCTCGCATGTGGAAGTAGTGTGACATGATCAACGTCAAGACTTTGACGGCCGAGAGGGTGGTACCTGTGTCACCCAATCAGTCTGGGCCGTCAGGTTGGGATCTCAGTCGCTTGCATCTTGCGGAGCGGCCCGATAGGCGGGTTTAAGTAAGCTGAGAGGGACGCTCGCTCCTTGGCAAATAGCAAACATCGAATATCCGTCTGCGAGACGGGCGAGCCACCAGGCGAATCCGAAGATACGGCCGAATGATCCTTTTAAAAGTAGAACTTATGAATGAAATCATACTTGAGACGCAAGAAAGCAATGGAGCCGCGCGGCGTAAAAGTAAAAGCTCATGTGGTGGGGAGTAAATGTCGTGGCCAACATGTTGCACTCGTGATACTGTGCAACAAGGGACAAGGCCCCGCTCAGCAAGCGTGTAGTAGTCGCATACATATGTAGCCATCCATGCCCACAGATCTTCGAGAGAACAGCAGGTCATCGGAAGTAAATATGCAAGCTCCGAAGACTCTGTACGCGGTGAAGTTTTGTACCATCGGAGAACGACATCAATAATGACATATCATATCTTTTCCGAAGCACACACTCGTTTCCTGTGATGCTCATCCAGTCTGGGTCTTGCTCCCCCATACAAGCGATCACGCTCCAGGAGATGTGCAGTTTGCCCAACGAAAATGAGGGGACAGATAGACAAGGACGGCTGTGAGAGAGGAGGTTCGGCGAAACCGTGAAAATGGGCGTTGCGGTGCTCACGGCCGTCAATGTGGTGCGATGAAGACATTGCTGCTGCGTCATAGATGAGAGAGTGCACACTTGCGTAAAGCTTCTCGACAAGCTTGGTCAGCTTCTATGCTAGGGACAGGAGCGAGCACTGGTGGGCGGACAACCTCGAGCGACTGATGGTTGGCCGAGAATGAGATGCGATAATGCCCAAGGATGGCGGCTCAGGCTCGAGGATATCGCCAACTTACCTCCATTATTTTCAAAGCTACCTTATACAGGTGGTCGCGGCCCGGCTCAATCACAAAGACTGACACTGTCGAGGCCATGGAAATACGAACAGATGGTACCTTAGCCCATGATCTAGCGATTGCCATCTAAGCCTTTGTACTCTACATTGGAGTAAGGGCTGCTGATAACAGAAGTGGTATTGAGCGCCCCAACCAAAACTGGTTATGTCAGCCGAGAGAGACAAGAGTCGAACTCTCGTGTAGATATGCCCCCAGACAGCAGGTTCAGGGTAAAGTTTCCGTGGCTGGCAGAGGTGTTGAATATGAGTTGGACAGAGAATGTGCTCTCAGGTTAGGTACCTCGGTTTACGTTCACTCGCAATCGCGTTTGTTCAGATATTTCGTTTTACCTCCGGATTCTAGACAATTTGAAAGAAGAGAATGTTCCGGCATTCGAAAAAACGATCGTAGACCTCGTTTAAGGTCTTAATCGAAACCGTTATCTGTCTTTCTATTCTTTTTCTTTTCTTTTTTCCTGAACGGTTGAGCTTCGGCTTGCTTTTTCTTCAATGTTCGGTCGGCTCGGGTTGTGGCGGTGGTGGAAGTGGAAAAATGGCGAACCATCTTTGGGACGCCTGTAAGGTGCGGCGGTGGTTGCCTTGCTGGCTGCCTCGTGTGGTTGCCTACATTTTTCTGCCCGCTGATTGGATGGAACGAGGCGACGGCGTGCTCTGCTCACCGAGAATTCCCCAAAAAGCAGGGCGGACAAGCGAATGACTGCGCCCGCGGTTGCCTCATTGGCTCAGTTCCCCCAATCTGTTCCCCCAAGCCGCACCGTCCTCAACATCTGTCACGCCCTTCATCCTCTTCCTCATTCCTGCCCGCCGACTGACTGCCTTTCCTCTTGCCTGAATGACTACAAGTCCTGCCCGTGCCCATATCGCCTGAACAAACCTTCGCGTTTCTTCCACTTTATCGTCTTTCACTCAGCGATTTGCGTCCCGCGATACTTCGCCCACTCGGTCGCCCAGCTACCCATGTCTTGCTAGTCCGGCAATCTACTATCCTCTCCCGGCTCCGACCGACCCACTACGGACCGGTAATTGAACTGCATCAACCTTGCCCCCTTCGCTTGGTCCCGGGTTCCTCTTCGTCCGAAATCATCAATCCAGAGGCCATCGCCCCTATCCGCGTCGGCCTGAGGCTCATTCGGTCGAGGAACGGCTCATTCTTGGTGGACTTGGACTCGGGTCGAGTCAAGTACCTCTTCGCCACGCATTGAACGTTACAAAGGTGGTTGGGTATCAAGTTTAGGTGACCTTGGTTCCGTCTTGAGTTGGTTGCCCTTTTCTCTTTATCCATCAAACAAACCCCTCAGCACTACAAAGTTATAATGCCAGTTCAGGCCAGTGCCTGTTGACTTGATACTGTACACATACGTTCCTCTGGTCAATACAACATGTGCCTAACGCCATGCGAATAGTTCCCAGCTGGAGTCATCAGGTCCAGTCGGCTCCTTTCCAATTCTTGCCGACCTCTGGTCGATGAAAGCCTGCCTCAGACTACAATCATGGATCCTACGAAGCATAATCAGATGGCTTCTATGCATGGCTCAGAGACGCGAGCCAATATGGAAAAGTCGACAAATCAAGGCTTTCCTTCCCAGAAGACGACACCAGTGCCATGGGCATTGATGAACTTCTACGGAAATGACACTTCACAACCATGGGTTCCTCCCGGAATCTTTCCCGACTCTCATCAAGGTCAACAGTTGAATGTCTCAGGCGATCCCCGGTGCCGCAATCAGACTCACTTCTCGGGCGCATGGAGGAGCCCTCTTCCTTCAGATTGCGGTACTGTACCACAATACTTGCCTTCAGACTCTGGTTATGAGAGTAGGACCAAGCATAGCGTTGATAACGCATCTGTATTCAACGATGTGGACCGGAGCCAAGACACTCACAGTATCTCGGGCCAACTGTTGGACTTTCAACTGGGCCCAACACCTGCAGAGTCTCACTGGAACCTAGGAGCCACTCCCATGTCAGTAACTCATCATGGTGCGGCCGATAACAAGCTGGTTTGTGACCACTGCCGTGCTCTCTGCAAGACCAAGTCAGAATTGAAGTGAGTATCGAAATCATATGCTACTCAATTTTAGAAGCATATCGCTAACATCAATTGCGTAGCAAACATCACCAACGTCACCAGAAAGCCTTCAAGTGTGATGTTCAAGGATGTACCCGTGCAGAGGGTTTTGGCACCCAAAATGACCTTGAGAGACACAAAGGAAGTGTACACCCCGAGTTCTTCAACTCGGGTCCGCGATATCGCTGCTACAGAGGAACATGCTCAACGAAGAGCAAGATATGGCCGAGAGCCGACAATTTCAGGCAACACCTGAAGCGGGTGCATTCTATTGTTCACAATCCCGAGGATGATCTTAGCGAATATGTTGTCCAGTGAGTCAAGAAACATAAATCAAGAAACATATGTAGCTGTCCAAGGCGCCTAACAGGATATAGAACCACCCAGAGGCCGTTGGGAGAAACGTATCACCAAAGTACACAAGACGTTCTTGAAGGTGTGGGCGTGGGCCCGGAGGTGTACTACCAGGCTCCTTCTATGACCTGGGGCGATGGCCCTTCGCCAATGTACGACGATGTTCAACTCTCCCCTCAGGATCCAGTACATGGCACGGAGATCAACCTCATCGACCCGTCCTTGACGCAGATTGGCGGCTTAGCACCCGACGCCTGTCTTGAATCATCTATCGCGGACAAGGCCATTTCCAACTCCCCATTGCACGACAGTGATGGCCAATCGGTTTGCGAAAGCCCTCATTCCCACCAGCAATATGTGCAGCCTGGAGAAGTTTCGAAAGCGCCATCTCCAAGGGCCACGATTGGAGACCGGAGGAGCCAAAGATCCAGTTTCACTCGTGAAGACAATTCCGCGAGCGTTCCTGCCGCCTTGAAATTGAATATCAACCTCAATACCAATGGATCAAGCAGAGCCCACAACGGGATTTTCAAGACCCCTGCAACAGACCCTTTGGACCCCGAGGTCATAAGCACCAACTCGATCCCTTGCGCTTCGGACGAGACTATTCTTAGGAGTCAACCTGCCAACAAGGACTCAGCTCAGGAGGAGCTGATCTTCAACCAGCCTCTTCCCGCATCTCCAAACAAGAGTCTGAGTGAGCAAGCCATGTTTGACTTTCTCTCAAAAATGCCTAAGAATGTCATCGAGACATTCATGAAGTCTCAAATAGAGACGCCTCTTCAGAGATCTACATCGACGACAAATGGCAGTGCTGACGGCCAGCATCGGTGTTCGGACCCCGGCTGTGGCAAAGTGTTCAACCGCAAGTGTGAACTCAAGTACGTATTAATCCTGTTATCCCGCATGTCTAAGTCGTTAACCAAGGAATAGAAAGCATATGAAACGTCACGAAAAGCCGTATGGATGCACATTTGCCGGCTGCAAGAAGAAGTTTGGCAGCAAAAATGACTGGAAACGTCACGAGAACAGCCAACATTTCCAGCTTGAGGTATGGAAATGTTCCGAAAAACGGTCTGAAGATGACAATCAGAGTTGTGGCAAGGTTTGCCACCGCCGGGAAACTTTCCGAAGTCATCTTCAAAAAGAACACAAGATGAACGACTCGTCCAATATTGAGAAGGTCCTCGAGAAATGTCGCGTCGGGCGAAACGGGGAACCCAAGTTCTGGTGTGGCTTCTGTGTCGAGATCTTCGAAATCCCAGAGAAGGGCGTTAACGCCTGGGCCGAAAGATTTGATCATATTGACAACCACTACGCCGGACGTGGCGGCTTTACCAAGAAGGACCACTCTCAGTGGGTAGCTGTCGATCCCGAGTTGCCAAACGTCGACCTCACCGGATCTTCGGATGACTTGAGCGATGCAGACTCAGCTGATGACATTCTAATCTCCGGCTCACGAAAGTCGACGACCAATGGCAGGAGAATCAATCGTCAGTCAAGAAAGAGAGGCCTGGACGATGGCGCCGAACAACATGGCCATAAGAGGATGAAGACATATATGTGGGAATGCGTGAGTAATCCTGGAATTCCTTCCCTCTGGCCTGTCAAGATATGCTAATATGACATCTAGTGCTCGTGTACATGGGATGCAGACTATAAAGTGCATTCAGCTTGTGTGAACTGCTCTCACGTGCGTTGTGATCAATGCAGTGGGAAGTGGGTTCAGATTCAGGAAGACAGGGACGCCAACAGCACCGGCGACAACTCGAATCAGGTGTAGAGGCATTGGTTTGACAGGAACACGACAGCCAAAAGTGACCCTTGAGAGGCATGCGCTGACATAATATTTTGTAATGGATGACATGGAGTTATGATGGATGGCGAAAGGATGACATGCGATGGAAGTGCTCCACGATGGACAGTGATTCCCCCTTCTTTGCTTGGATCTGGCCAGGCTCCAAACTTTTGGACTGATGCTTGGCTGTGTTGGATTTTCAATTTACCTCGTTATAGTAGAGATGAGAGGATGACCGAAAATGGCGTCTCGGGTAGCGCCTGTCAACAAGCAACGATTTCCTACCTTCAATGTCACCGTAAGCAACTTATCAAACGTTGCACTCTTCACCCGTGCCGAGTGTTCCGTTCATCGCCAGCCCTTTATTTTGTATTCAGGGAGTTGTCTACCACTTGACCACACGAAATCCGTTCTTATGACAACGGCATATGTTTATCTGTCAGTCTACATGTGTACATGACAAGAACTAATAATCATGTAAGTAAGCAGAACCCCTGGAACCAGGAATTAGCTCCCTTCCTAGATGTCCTCCTCCTCTTCCTCCTTGGGCCTTGTCCAAACACTGGATCGCAGGACGGGGTAAACCGGAGGTACAAACAAACTCCAAAAGGTCCCGCAGCGGCCGACGCCGAAGAACGTTCAGGGGTATGACCCAAGAAGTCAGTAGAAGCAGACATACCGTAGAGGGACGTCGGGCCTTTCTTCGACGGCAAGCGGTTCTCAGGACCTGGGCTTTGGGTACGGAGTAAATTTGATGTTTGCCTTCTCCTCTCCTGACCCTGACTAGATTCCGGGTCAAAAGAAAAAGGTCTGCGCGCCCGATGGCATTGAATAGGTATGCGGCGCTTCTCGTTCCTACGGATTCCCGTCCGGGACCCCTTGCTCACTCACACTTACACGTTGCTCCGATTCCGTAGGACTGGTTGACCACCACCATCATTACCGCTGGAAACAAAGTTCACAGACACCCCCTCCATCTCCTGTAGATCTTACGATTCTTCATCTCTGACATCCACTATACGACTTCTTCGGCACGGTCTCATTTTGCGCCTCCCCTCTCCCCTCCCCTCCATCATCCAAATATGCCAGGCACACCTTGTAAAGATAACCTACCCGTCATCCGTGCTGCCCTCCCCCCCCCCCCCCGGGCCTCCATATATTTGGGGGCCGCAAGACAGGCTAGCCCAGCCTCAGCGGAAGCAAACAGCCCGGTATTGGCCCGTAATCCAAAAGTCGAACCATTGCCCTGTAATGGCTCTGGAGGAGTGACCCACGTTGTGTAACAACCAGAAGGCGGGGGGGTGAGAGAGAAGGGGGGGCGCCAGCCGCCGAAAGCATGGCGAAGGGAGGGCAGGGTAAGGCAGGGTAAGGGCAGGGCAAGGTTGAAGATTGAAGAGGCGCAGACAAGTCCGAAGCAGCAAGCAAACCCTCAGGGCAAGGGGGGAGGGGGGGGGGGACGGCAATGATGTACTTGCAACACGCCTCGTGGAAGATAGAAAGACGTGGCTGTGCATACTTGCTTTCTCCCAAAGTCTTCTCAGCCCTGGGCTTGAATCTAGTAGGGATGTGCGCGTGTGTGTCTCTTCTGATGGGCGTGTGTCGTCCCAATGCTTCATGCTTAGGGGTGACTCGCTGGCCGTTTGGGGAAAGGGAGCCGAGGAACTTGAGTCGATGGAGAACGTTGGATGTAGGAAAGAGTTCGCTTTCTGTACCATAGCGGCTACCTTGATTCGACTGTTCACATCTCAGTCGCGCGGTAGACCTCCTGAGAACCTGGGTAGAACTAACGGCCGTACGCTCTGATATTGGTCAAATGTGGTCGCAGGATCGTTTCTGACAACCAGACAACAACTGAGAATAAGTGAGCACAATACTCGCAGTAACTACGGACGGTAGACGATACCACCGTCCAATCAGTACAATTATAAACGGATATGTTGGTCGACCTGGGCCTGGACCAACAGTATGCAGTCCTGAGACAATAAGCGATCACCGTATTGGGTACTATGCGAGAGTTAGTACTGACCTGCCACCCTGCTATTACTGCTGTTCTAAAGCTAGTCTAGAGAAAGACCAGTCTCTAGACCATCAATAGCAAGCCCCGATATGTCAGCTCTTGTCATGGATCTCGCCGATCCGAATCCAACAAACTCACGCAATGACGGTGGGTATATTCTTGTTAATGTGCCACCGTGAGCAGGGCCAACTTCGCATGCCATCATCTATTGATCGTTTGTCGACGGCCGTAAAAAGGCCCAGGCACATCGCGACCCCGGAAGAAGCCCGAATTTTGGATGTCACGGGGGTCCTACTTTGTAATGGGCCTTGAGAGAAACCCTACAGGGCCAACTTTGGTCAGGCCATATGCAGGGGGCCACTATGAAGAGAAGCAAGAGACGATGGGATACCCTTGAGAGCGTCAACGTAAAGTTGACACGAAGGCCTTGATTTGGATCATCTGTCGAAACTGTACTGGACTCCTGGACCAACAAGCTGGTACCACCACGGGCGTGTTGTCTCCTTTGGGAGAATCCTTCCCCGTAGATGCTTGCAGATCGTTTCATACCATACTATTTGACCACCAACAAGACTCCGCCTTGCCGAGTAAAAGATTAGAGCTGCCCAAGATCTATCTCGTTTCTGATCTGCCGATTTAAGAGGCAAGGGGTTGGTGAATCGAAGAAGCAAGTCTCAGAATCCCGATGCCTAATTAGCGAGCAGGGCCCCAGAAGAGGGCTTTGGCGTTATTGGCGTGGATTGGTGTAAAGCACGCAGTCTTGTGTACAGGAATAGAATTGCCGCGCACTCCGCGCCAGTTTAACATCACTTGTCTCTGCGCGAGTTGCGCCAGTCCTCTAAACTCACGCGTGCAACTCACGCGTGCAATGCTGCAAGACCCGCGGGTATCGAGGACTCAAGACATGACTTCATGATAGACCTGCGAAGGCGCGATCTGCTTGGACTGTAAGCCCTCCGATAGTTGTTGATGTAACAACCGCGAATCTGACAGACAGGGCTCATTGCCTCCTCTTGGGAGCGTCGAGGCCGAGGAATGGGCGAGCTCATTTTTTGAGATTTGTCTGCGGAGACTTGTGTAACGATGCGGAAACAAGGATCCAGCGGAGCTGGCTCCTGTTGCGACTTGACATGGTTGCTATCTGGGGAGGATTTCAGTGGTTTAGTGATTTCGTGTTCAGCTTTGGCTTGGCTAGCCAATGAAGTCTGTGCCGTGTCATCCTTGTTCTAGATGTTGGGGTCTGGAGACAGTGGAGAGGAGCCTATGAGCCCTGAGATGAGAGATCAAGTCACCTCACTGAGTTCACGTAGGGTATCCGTACAAACTCAGGAACCCCTTACCTAGTATTTTCCTGTTGCCGCCCCGGCAGGCAAGTAATTTTGACCGTGTTTAGGACCACACCTACGAGAAATCTCCGAGCAAGTGGTCGCCTGGTAGGCCTGGAATAGAATTCGCGCAACGCTGGAAACCGGCGAGGAATCGATTTGAACGAAAGTCAAATTACTCGGCTACTACTGTTGGTGAGACAGCAGGTCTGGGCTAAGGAACAAGGATGAAGCGGGCAACGGCGCGCTACCATACGGTCAAATCCACGAGCAAGCGCTCTGATTTCTGGTGCGCTTTAAACTCCTCCCAGGTACTGCGTACGAAGTACTGATACTCGATTTCGGCGATGTCAGTCGAGTCCCCACGAGAGATCGACAGGTAAGTCCGAAAGAGCCAGGGTTCTCGATCCCCCAACGCTTCGCAAGTTCGCACATTGCCCAGTCGGGTGCTGGTGTATGCTCCTCACGTCCAGGGCTGCCAGTCTCGTAGTGTGTGTGAGTGTCCACACTCCGTATACGTGTAGACGGATCATCTTCAGATAATCAGCGTCCACTGCAGAGCATAAAGTGCGCAATTGTGCGTGTACTGTACCCATAAACGGTAATCGTACTGGTGGCATACCAGTGGACTGGGAGAAGAGGACGGGTCAAGGACGGGAACAGGAGCGAAGGAACGATCGTTAAGAGGACCCTGGAGCCCTGTGAGGTGCCAAGGCTCGCTCTTTCTGAAAGGAGCAGAGGCGTGCTGATGTGGAAGTGGATTCACGCCATTATTGCAGTGAAAGGGTGTACATATGGAGGCTTCCATTCCCCAAAAGGGGTGAAATCCGTGGTGGATGTGACGCGTTGGGCGAGTGAAGCCGGGAGGTAGACACGGCCAACCACGTTCTCCCACTGAGTCGTAATGACTTGTTGGCAGTGAGGAGCGGGAGCCAAAGACCCCCAGGGGTGTCATCCGTAAGGTAGTTGAGGTTCCATTTCTGTAATTTGGATTTTGGAGACCATCCAGTGATAGAGAAGTGTGTTTCAAGGTGTAGCGATGATGGAATCCATCAGCCAGCGAGCGGGCAGGGTTGTTGGCAATATCAATAACGTTCGGGGGTTGTCGGTGTTTGTGGGGCACAAAGACAGTCCGAATATCTGCGTCTAGTGTCCGTTTTAGCGTGGCGCCGTCCATCCGTCAGTTCGTCCGGTTTGCTATATCCGGGCAGATAGCTGGACCTCGTGGGACGTGGAGACTGCTTCAAGGTTTAAGCCAGGAGCACCGGGCTACTGGTGGTAGCGTGGACTGGGATCGGACCCAGACTTCCCAGTCGTGCCAGTGTATGTAAGCCCGTTGGCCGAATGGCTTGCCTTAAAAGGCGCTGGGCAGGGTAGATGTGGGATGGAGCTTGCTGCGGGACGGTCCCGTCCTCAATGATAACGAAGTCAAAGAGGGAGGGAGTGGGTGCTAGATGGGAGGCGTGGACCGCGTGGTAATGACAGGATGGGCTTCCATGTGAGGTTACACAAAAAAACCCACTCTTGGCGGGATGTCGGATTTGCGTTGCGTTGCTTTGCGTTGCGTTGCGTTGTGAGGACGGGAAGAAGTGAGGGGATGTACTGTGTAGTGTCGGGATACTTTTTTTCTGCCCAGTGGCTGACGGCAAGCATTGAGGTCCAGGGCAGGTAAGGTGAGGTCCGTGGATACCGTAGTGAAGGAAGCTGTCACGCTGCGTAGCATTTGCTTAGCTCACCTTCCTTGCCTTACGTAAAGCTTGCCCATCATTTTCGCAGGTAATGAGTACCTACACTCACTACTCCGTACCTACTAAGTAAATACGGATACCTTCTTACCTCAGGGTAGTACCCAATACTCCAGGCAACGAACAAGTTGCATCGATGAAGGCGCCATCCATCTACTGCGTACCCTACACTACATCAACAGGCCTCCATGAAGGGAGGAAGGAACAGATGCATCGTCACGGACTCATGGAGCCATCGACGGTAAGGTGGGGTCCGGATCTGGAATTTTGCTTGACTGTCTTCTCTTGAGTCTCTCGATCCTCTTCCCGTCTGGCTCAGTGGTTCCCCCACCTTCACCACTCATACCTTACGCAGTATGCCCAGTCCTTTTGCGACTTGCGCTAGTCAGCCTGCGGCCGCCTTATTCGGGATCGGGAGTATGCCTCATGGGTCGATGGGACCAATGGCCAGGACACGTCGAGCGGAACTCTCGCGCAGCTGCGCGATGCGATACCTTGCGTCCAGTTGCTGTCAACTCTTCATGCTCAACCCGTGCACTCGCTACCTCACCATACGTCTGCGCCTGTACTGCGTAGGTGTGTGAATACCTTCCGGTGGCTACTATCGACTAGGCCTACCTAGGTATTGATACGTATTCTGGGCTGTCTTTCCTTCCGTCTGTCTCTCCTGAGTCTTGGGGTCTCCGAATGTCTCTCTCTCTCTCTCTTTCTCTTCATCACTCACAACCAAGCTCCGTCCGTTCCACTCTCCGTCTCCGTCTTGCCCCATCCCTCCTCCACCCGCCAACTTACCAAGGCTCCTCTTACTTAGAGTGGTACTACAGTAGAGTCCTGTCCGCTCCTCTCCACCGCGATGGGCCCCCAGATACCACCCTGCACTGCACTACCTACTAGTATCCGTCACTTTTGACCATGGACCACCTCAAGGCAAACCGTCTACCGTATCACAGCAGCTTTACATTCTGACATCCTGACATCCTCCGATCCGAGACATGACCTGGCCAAGCGCTGTCTAGAATCTCTCATTCCAACTTCACTCCCCTGTTGCTTCTCTCCTGCGCGAGTGCGCGCTCCCTGCTACCTTCTTCGCCCATCATCTCTACCCTGGACCATCATTTTTGCTTTTGTCAATCCCCGTACGGAGTACCTTTATCACTTCCAAGGGAAATAGGGTCATGACAACCTGACGCGTTGCCTCTATGCCTTCCTGAGACCTTTTCATCTCGCCGTCTAGCCAGCCAGGGATGTCTTCGATTACCCGGTAAAGGTGTTGCGGAGAAGCCAAGTATCTCGACCGACTCCTCATTCCTCATTCCTCAACGGAACACCCGGCACACACCTTCTTCCCACGTCTTCCCTATTGAACCCCTTTGACGCCATCCAAGCAAGCCAAGCAGCCTCTCGACCTGGATCACCATCCATGAAATTGAGAGGGTCCGACACTCGCAGTACGTCGTACAGATGGATGTCTCGCTCGACACAATTCAAGAATCCTGGCCCAGTCTTGCTGAAATAGATCAACTACCTGGACTGTGGAGGACCGACTTATCACGCCCGAGTGCCAATATCACAGAAACACAGCTGACCGGCCATCCCCAACAAGGATCATCAGTGACGTCCGCAGTGCTCTCTTGACAGACACAACCTCTCTGTGGCGGCGGCTGAGGCAGTCAAAATAAGGGTTGGGATAGACAGTGTGTCTCGCAACTGTTGACCCATCAGTCGATGATTGCGTTGTCAACTTCGGTCGACTCGCAGACACTGACCCTGCAATTCGCTGACGAGCTTCGGTGATGGCTCTTTGAGGTGATTCCCCATTCGCCAGAAACAAGGCGACTCGAGTAAGGCAACCCAGTGGTATCTGCCTGGAGGCAACGGATGCCATGGCTAAATCAACCCATCAGAGGCAAGCTCAGAAGCTATCCGTCTCATCGGCCGTGGGTTCGTCTTCCGAACCAGGCGCAGCCGCAGTCCTGGCGGCTGCCCTCGTCCACCCTCTTTCAACACCACCCTCCATCTGCCCCCCTTGACAGGAAAGTGGTTCGCGAACCGGCCCCCAAAGAGGAGCTGGACCAGCCAGAACAGAACTGTATAATTTTATACAGAAAAATACATACATCTGCTGCAGCCACTAGAGACTAGTCCCTGATGGTGTGCCAGCCCGCAACCACACATATTCCCTGCCACAAAGTACTGGCTCCAGGGGTGTGCATATGCGCTCTGCAGCACCTGATGATGATGGCCATCCACGGCAAATCCTTGCCTCTTCCTCCTCGTCTCTCTCAATCTGCCCTCACAGGCTCGCACTCCTGCTGGCCCTCAGTAGGTACCCACATGAGGCTCTGCAAAAATACGTACTTTTTGCCAATGGGGTCTTTGGCTGTCCCCGGATGTCTCCCAGACCTTTCTGCTGCTGGGTACGCCTAGGCGACTGCCCTGGCGCATCCCCTGTGCTACCGATATGCCAACCCGCCTCATGGACTTATATACATCACGCTCCGCCACGCTGGTCCGTCTCCGATGACATTATCGTGTCTCTTGCTGTTCAGACCAAGCACGGAAACAGCAACCCTCTATAATCCTACACTTGTTGCATTGTTCACTCTCTTATAACTGCCTCGTCCTTGCATTTTAGTCCGCGGCACATCCTTCAACTTTTCAACATCAACAGCCCTTTGGTCTAGTCTTGGATAAATTACCTACTTCGATCGGATCAACACTACGACGTCTTTCCATTGGGAAATTCCCTATCATTTGCCCTTCCAAGGAGGCTTATACCCAGGGTTCTGTCCTGAACCGTTGGAGTTACTCCCACTGTAACCTCGGATTTTCCCTACTGAGCAAGCACGCAAAATGGCCTATTACTATGACAATGTCCAAGGAGGACATTTCACCCAGGACCAGGTACCTTACTACGAAGAGCACAGTTACAGCCAGATGCCTATGGCTTACCTTGGAAGCTCAACAACCTCGAACTCCCCGGCACCAATCGATCCTAGCCTTGGATCTTTCTCCCATTCGCAATGCCAAACTCCATGGCCGACACACCAAACCCACCAGATTCAGCAATACATGGATGGTCCACGCACGGCCTTCTTCATTCCGGACCATGCCCAAGTTTTGCTCGGTGTAAGCCAACCTACCAAGGAGTCAAACCCTCTACCCCCAGCTTCACAAAGGAGACACGGTTCCCCGTGTTCTCAGCAGACGCTGTCCAGCAGTGATTCCCATAGCCCACCCACGGAGAGTGACATTCTACCCGCAACTCCCCCGGACCACTCAGCCACTTCTCCTTTCTTACAGCAAAAGCAATTCATTGGAAGCTGGGAAACCCAACTGCAGACCCAGACGCTGTTTGGAATGGACGTAGGGAACACCTGTGTTAATCCTTACGAAGTGAACCACATGTTCGAGGAGGAGGAGATAGTCCCCATGAGCTTTGAGAGTACCGCAACCTTCAGCTTCTGCTGCTCAGAGTCTGATGAGGCCAGTGTTGCCCAGCACTCGACTTTCTCGTCGCGGCAAATCACCCCAGAGCCCATCATCAAGCAGGAGGCACCCATGGTCGAGCTACCACTCCGTCAAAACTACCCTGATCCTGAATCAAACGATACAAACATCTTTGAACCAGAGATCAAGGCCGAGCCTCTTGCCGCTGACGACGATAAGGACCTGGACTACAAGCCCAAGCTCTCGAGAAAACGTGCCCGTAACACCACGGCCAGATCTCAGGCTCGCCCCTCCGGCTTGTCTCATGAACGAAAGCGGTCAAAGGTCAACAACGACATCAATAGTCTATCTTCAACGAGACTAAACGCAACACTTTCGTCGATGAGAAACCCCAAAATACTTTGCAAAGAGTGCAAAACCCCCTTTTCCGACGAGAGCACCCACCAGAAGCACATGAAGCAACATCACACCCGACCCTTTGTGTGCGTCTTCAACTACGCCGGCTGCCCATCCACTTTTGCCAGCAAGAACGAATGGAAGCGTCACGTAAGCTCGCAACACTTGGCGCTCCAGTACTGGCTCTGCGAGCAAGACGGCTGCTCCAAAACCACGAATCCTCCGACTAGCCGACGTTCCTCTTCCTCTTCCTCTTGCTCTGTCACACCGACACCACCCGCCCTACCAAACGGTGCCATCTTCAACCGCAAAGATCTCTACACACAACACGTTCGCCGCATGCATGTGCCGCCCCATGTACGGAAGGCCCAGAAGCAGAAGAAGCCCACTCCCGAGTGGGACGAGCATCTCAAGAGTCTTCAAACGGACGCGGAGAAGATTCGCTGCGATCTCCCGAAATACATGCGCTGTCCCGCTGCCGACTGCGGACATGACTTCAACGGACCCCAGGCTTGGGATGAACGTATGGAGCACGTCGCGCGACACCTCGAGCGCGCCGCCGAGGGAAAGGAACCCATGGTCCACTTTGGTGGAGAGCACGACCTGACACTCACACAATGGGCCTCCAGCGCTGATGTCTACGTTGTCCGGCGGACACGAAACATGACAGCTGAGTGGGAACTCATTAACCCGCTCAAAGGAGAGGTTGGTCCCTCTGCTGGCAACGGTAAGGGGGGCAGCACCACCACTACCAACTCGACTGTTCACAAGGAAATTGTTGTTGCAGTCTGCTCCGATGAGGATGCTGAGGGTGAGGACGAAGAATAATTTACACTTCGTCAATCAGTCTTCATGGTTGTTGATGATCATCTATACGTTACTTGCTACTTTACAGTCGTCCATACTGGCATCTCGGTAGTTCAAGGCTTGTTTGTGTTTTTATTGAAGTTTCTCTTTTTTTAGATACCTTTTCTTCTACATTCTCTTTGCTTGACTTGTTGGGGCGCCTCCCATGGCTGGAGTTTTCATGCTTCTACAACTAGGAAGATCGCGAAGGAGTAATGCGACTTGGGGAAAAAGACTTTCATTTTTAGTGGATATACAATTGGCTGGAATGCTGGAGCGGCAATGAGAACAGGATATAATCCATAGTCATGATCTGGCACTTTTTGATAGTTTCTGCATTGATACCAATTTGCTATACCTCTGTTCCAATTCAAATGCTTAGTTACCTTAGAGTGCAATACCTAGCCACCTACCTTATACCATTATCGGCGAAGAGAAGGATGTCAGTCTCACAGGATAATCACCAAGACCGAAGTAAACCACCAGAACCGCATCTGGAGGAATGAAGCAAGCCTGAACAGGAGAGAAACGGCGACCTTCTTCCCCTGTAGCCCATGGAACGGGATGCCATGCTGGTCCACTACTCATTGCCGCGCTGCGACTCTCCGTCGCAGAGTCCTTCCCACGATGCGGCCAAGGAAGCATACTCAAGCGCGCTTCTAGACCAACGCAGCCGCCAGTCTCCAGTACCTCCCCGTCTACGCGCCTGTGGTTGTTTCAACCATGGGATCCGGTAGGCGTGTGTTGGAACAAACCCCCAGCCTTACCAGCGGCTGCTCGAGGAGACGGCAGCGGCAGCGGCAGCGGCAGCAAGTAACCGTGAGGCTCTATCTTTCTCGCTCACTCGACATACACGACACGACGACCACTTACACACACGATTACACGGGTTCACACGTCCCGTAAGAGAATTCCACAACAAGTCAACCACACTTTCCTACACCAACAGCGTGCGACCTGTGCGTTCACTGGAGAGGGAGAACCGGAGTTGGGTGGGCAGCCAGCGAAACCCCGAGGAATGCGGCTCAAGTTGGGTATTTCCCAGCCCAGCCCAGCCCAGCCCAGCCCAGCTTTCCGCCCTGGGCGCTAATCGACACGTCCGACGTAAGGGATGGGGACGGGGGGCGGGGAGGGAAAGGGTGGACGGGAACGACTCCAAGCCTCTGAGTGTACGGTAGAATGCTGACCTCTTCTTCTGTTTGGCTGTTGGACTAGACTGTAGCTACCTTACGCTCGCCCTCCTCCTGCATGAGGACAGTGTTCCAGGTTCTTCTCTCGTTCCGATGATTGGACTTGAACCTGTAAAACGAAGCGGTAGGTAGGTAAGGTAGGTGTACGTAGAGGTAACGTAGGCAAGGAAGTAGCCGTACCCGCCGCGCGTGTTGGGCTGCCCATCGCCCATCGCCCATCGATCTAAGTTCTGACACGAATTCCTTCGCTTCCCTTCATCCCATATCCCGTAGGGCTCGCGAAGGGCGAAGGAACATCCGTAGGAATAGGGAAGACCGGGGGGAAGAGAGAAGAGGAGGGAGGAGGAGGAGGGGGTGTGAGCTGTGTAAGACTTAGATGCAAGACAAAGTACATGCGGTTGCCTTCCCCGCGGCCCCCAATGTGTCGAAACTCGGAGTTACAATCTGAAAAACCGGATTTATTCCCTTTTCTTCTTCTCTCTGCCGTTTCTGCATTTTTCCCCCCACCAGACACCCATAGGGTGGTGGTGCAGTGGTGTTGTTGGTTGTTGGCCGCAGCGGCGCGGCCCAGATAGAACACAAGGTACTAGCTAGTAGGGGACAAAGAAGACGAGACACGGAGTGAAAAAAAAAGGGACAAGACACGGATCGAGAGACAGAGACCGAGAGGGCTAAGACGGGACGGGGAGAGGGAAGCATGGGAAGCTCTTCTCCCAAGGCGGAACCGAAGAAGGCGTCAGCACTAGTACGCGTTGGACACACCGGCCGGCCGGTCTATGCAAAAGCTGAACTCCATCGAACACATCAGCACCCAGAAAATGGAACAGAGTGATTACCTACCTTACCATGCGTGCCTTGCTATCCCACCCACGCCGTGTGCCGTATGCGCAGACGGAGATGGTTGGGGGCTTAGCCACGCAACGCAGTTCTTTCGCATGCCGCCAACGGTTCTCCGGCTTTGGGGCGGCTGGGCTGGGCTGGACTGGACTGGACTGCCAGCACTGAACAGACACATCTACGGTGTCAGTCTCTGCCCACCCCCCCCCCCCCCCCGTCCATCCCACGCGCGACCGCGCGAAGTGAAACGAGCACCTGGCTGGCAACTTGCGACTGCTACTCATCTCTTTTTTCCTTTTTCACTTCTAGTGACTGCGCCGCGGCGGCTGCTACGGTGGGTACGTTAGCCGACCGATGCAAGCACGGCGCTCTAGAATGGATGGCTCTGCGCCTGCAGCGTGTATCTAGATGGGCTCTTTTTCTTCCTTCCATGCGTGGGTAGTGCCGCGGATGTGTTTCTTCTTGGGGGGGTTGCTTTGCGCACGATGGATGGTACGTTGCAAATCGGGGTGTGTGTATATGTGTGTGATCAAGGCAGCATGGCATGGCGGCATGGCCCCCAAAAATAAAGGTACAACCAACAGGGCTGGGGATCTATGACGACGATGGTGGGAAGCGTTGGCGGCGCGAGGCGGCCATCTTACTGCTTTTGGGCTTTGGAGAGTGGGAATGTAATGGAAAGGTCTACTGCCTGGCAGGTAAGTACGGTACCTTAGGTAGGGTGCCTCTTCGCGGCTGAGGCTCTCTGTGTCGGCATTTATACTCTTTTCTGTTGCGCTACTGTACGCCGCCTCGTGTTCCAGCGTAGGAAGCAGCCTTCCAAGTCTTACTTTTCCCCCTTGGCTACTACTGATGACGATTTTCTTCAGAGCTATTTTCAATGTAAGGGGCTTCCGGTCTCAGATTCTATCTCGAATGATAGTCTGATAGTATTATGCATGTGTGGTTCGTATTCCTCCATAGCTGAGTGCTAGCCTGAACGTCCAACACGCCGTAGCCCTAACGAGATCGCGGCTGATGAAAGGTAGGATCGCGGATCTAGAAGCTGAATCATGGCTCTGGAACGAGCTCTAAGTTTGGGAAGGCAGATGTCAGGATTGCACTTACAAGCTGTCACGCGTCGTTGAGGACAGCAGGGGGTGGAATCCAGCGGGAATCCTTTCCGGAGGAACAACGCCACGGTAAGCAGCTACGTAAGCCGGTTCTCTCAGGCCAGCGGGTGGATGTTGATGCTTGCTTCCTGTAGCGGTACGTTCCACGTTGTCGCGGCGCGGTGCCAGCTTTGTAATCTGTCTAATCCGGGACCCGGACGGCTCTGGGTTGCGGGACCGGAGTCGGTATGGGTCAATCGAGCGGCGGGACCGGGTGGTGGCTATCGTGGCGGGGCCGATGTCCCCCCCGACCGGAAAGCCGACGGGAAGGCATACTTCAGGTACTTACTTACCTGACCTTAGGTACCTTATGGAAGTCGCTGAGGCAAAACGATGCCTATTTGCCTACCTTTTTTGTTTACCTTAGCTATCGCGAGAAAAAGGCACCCAGTCGTCAAACGGCCAAACCTCCAGATCCCTCCTCTGTCAAGAATTACCTTGGAGCTCCCTAAAGAGCGAACGCTAAGATGTTGACTAGATGCTGCTGACGGGAGAGAAACAAAGCGATAGAAATGACCTGGGCCTGATGGTTCGGCGGCTTCCGTGTACAGGGGCCCGCAAATCTCAAAAGCGAATGCAAGGAACTAACAATACGAGGGATTTCTATCTGCTAGTTACGGATGACCTGTAAGGTCTTCTATTGTTTGTCGATGGGATGAGCTCGTGATTGGGCATTGCCGTCTCCAATATACAGCTATTGAGGGGCCAAGGTGGGATCATGCTGAGTCGTGTCTAGAGGGGGGATGCTGTGGCACCATTGGTGTTCTCCCAGTTGGGCTGCCGTGAGCCTGGCGATCAACAAGATGATGCCCTGGGCTATATCCGTAAAGTTTGCGAAACATGTTTTGATGAGCGTGTTTCCCCGGCGATGAAAGCCAAGGATCGCTGCCCGGGTCGAAACAGGTTGGCTGTTGGCTGACTGTACACTTCCGTTCAGTCCTATTTCCACCTTGGTTTTCCGAGGAACACCTAGAATCAGGGTCTCTTCCTACCAGTGAACCCCCAAAAACGGGAGGTCCCCTGCTAAGAATCCGGCGACGAAACCCCACCAGCAGCACTGCCGACCACTAGGTGCCTGGCTCCGTCCGCTAAGATACACCGCAGGCATGCGTTTGGCATCCCTGATAGGATGAACTGGACGGGTAGCTCTTGGAAGCCTGCGCCCGCACCCCGCTTCCCTCTGCAAGCTGAGCCATCCTCCATCGCACGAAGCCCGCGCCGCTGGCAACAAGCGCCTGTGTGATACGAGAGAACGAGATGGCAACCTGCCTTACCTTGGATAGTTTGGAAAGGGGGAAACTCTTTTTGCCAATTATCTATTTCCCATATCATCTGTTGGACCAGCCTATACCCCACTCTCCATTGCCTTCGTTGCTCCCTCCCTCTTTCACCCATTCATCGCCGTTTGATCCGCATCCGGAGCTTGTTTACACTGCTCGCTTACTACCCACCAAAAAAGAGACACCCTGAGCTGAGCTGAGTAGAGCACCGCTTCGCTACGTCATATCATTAAGGCCAATCCCCGAACATCACATCAGCAAACGCAGTCAGCATACAAACCCGACTTCATCTGAACCCAATTCCACCCACTCTTTTCTCTCTTTACTCTCTATCACCTGGCATACGATATCCCATACCCTGAAGCAGCGCCAAACAGCAATCATGGAGTCTTTCGGAGCTCTCAAGCGGCGGACGACCGAGATCCTCCAATCTCTCCCGCAGAACCTACCCAATATGCCCAATGTCAAGAGGCCGTCTCTGTCCAGCGGCACTAGTCCCAAGCCCATGAAGGGCACATGGGAACGAATCGACGTCCCGCCTCTCGCCCGCTCCTCTCACACCGTCAACGTCGTTAACGGCTCCGCCTACGTCTTTGGCGGCGAGGTGAACCCCCGCGAACCAGTCGACAACGACGTCCACGTTATTAGGCTTCCCTATAACAGCGCCGGTGCCGACTACTACAAGATCAAGTCTGCTCCTGCAAAGCAGTATACCCCGCCCGCCGACACCGAGCCCGCCGCGGCGCAGACAGAGAAGATTGACGATGAGAAGCCCGAGGCGTCCGGCGACGACGTCGAGGAGAAGGCCGCACTGAAGGAACAGCTCCTCGATGAGGTATCTCTCGCCTCACCAGGCGTCACAGGAGAAGAAGGAGAAGAATATTCGTCCCTCGGAGCCGGGGAGCAAACCACAAGCGTGCCGCCCACTGCGGCAGACAAAGGCAAAGGCCCCGCCCTACCCGAACCCCCCGTCCTCGGCGACGTCCCGGGCCCCCGCGTCGGCCATGCCACCGCCGTCATCGGCAGCCGCATCTTCCTCTACGGCGGCCGCGGCGGGCCAGACATGACGCCCCTCGAGGAGGCCGGCCGCGTCTGGGTCTTTGACACCCGCACAAACTCTTGGTCCTTCCTCGACCCTGTACCGCCCGCCCCCGGCGTGACCAACCTCCCCATGCCCTCTCCGCGCAGCTACCACTCCGCCGCCGCCACCGACCGCCCGCGCGACTTCGCTCCCAAGCACGCCCGCGCAAAGCAGACCTGGAAGGCCTGGGCCCAGGGCGACAGCGCCGACGTCGGCATCCCTCAGGCGCCCATCGTGGGCCACGCCGCGGTCAACGCCACGGACGAGGAGGATGACGGCTACGGCACCTTCTTCGTCCACGCCGGCTGCCTCGCCAACGGGGAACGCACAAACGACCTCTGGGCCTTTGATGTGCGGAGCCGGGTGTGGAGCCAGCTGCCCTCGGCGCCCGGTCCCGCGCGCGGCGGCGCCGCCATCACCGTCAGCAAGAGCCGACTGTTCCGTTTCGGCGGGTACGATGGCAAGGGCGAAATCGGCGGCCAGCTCGACTTTATCCACCTCGAGATGGACACCTTTGACGACGGCGTCTCCAAGGGCGAGATCGCCGTCCACGGCCGCGGCGGCTGGCAGAGCATCGCCCAGGGCGCGGGCGCAACCCCCGGAGCCACCGGTGCCGGTGAGCAGGAGATCCACCTCGTCCCGGGCCAAACGTGGCCCGGTCACCGCAGCGTAGCGGGTCTCGAGGCCGTCACCGTCGGTGCCGGCCGAGAGTACCTCCTCCTCATCATGGGCGAGCGCGAGCCCAGCGCGGACGGCCACGCCGGCGCCGGCGCAATGTGGGACGACGTGTGGGCGTTCCAGGTCCCGCCGCTCGGCATGACGGCCGCCAGCGTGCGCGACGCCATGTTGCAGGCCATTGGCCGCACCACGGGCGAGGGCAAGTGGACGAGGCTGTCGATGGAGCCGTACGACGACGATAACGACGACGGCGAGCCCGCGCCGCGCGGATGGTTTGCGGCGGCGGCGATGGGCGATGTGGAGGAAGCTGGCGTCGCTGTCTGGGGAGGGTTGAGTTCTGAAAACAAGAGATTGCGAGACGGCTGGATCCTGAGGATTCCCGAGTGAGATGGCTAAGTCTCAGATTGCATAAAAATTGCATACAGTAGATGGATGTTTTTTGTTGTTTCCAAGGTTCATATATCAAACAGGGCAGTTTACGAGCGGCAACTCAATAGCAAATGATGAATGAAGAGAATTCATCACGTTTAACAAGATAAAAAAAATGGGAAATTAGACAGATATTCGCCGTCTCCGGGGGGCAAAGGAACAGAAGACAAATGAATCTCTAAACCGATCCCATGCATTCCGAATACAGCACATTTGTGTTTATATACAAGCCGGACTCCCACCGGCTCTATTCCATTTCGCATTGGGCTCCATTTCGTGGGCTTGCCCCGAACCTCCGCGCGTGCGTCGAGGTTGTTCTCCTCGCATTTCTCCCGTTCGTCCGCTGCTCTTTCTCTCTCTCGTCACAAAAGTTTTCTTACAAATCGCTCCGCGTCACCTCGGGGCCCCACGGCTCGGAGGTGAGGTTCGTCAGGCCCTTTGAGTTTTCGCAGGTTTGGCGACCGCTCTTGATGGGGCCGGGCTTGGGAACCTGGGCGGCGGCGGAACCACCGGTGGCGGCGGCGGTGGCCTTGAGGGCGTCGAGGAGCTGGACGGTCGTCTCGGGGGTGAGGTCCTCGTAGTAGTCGTCGTTGATCTGGACCATGGGGGCGTTGACGCAGGCGCCGAGGCACTCGACCTCGAGGAGGGTGAAGAGGCCGTCCTTTGTGGTCTCGCCCTGCTTAATGCCGAGGTGATCGATGATGGCCTTGACGATTACGTCGGAGCCGACGCCGCCAAGTTGACAGGGGGTCTGGTTTTCTGAATGTCAGCGACAATGCCCTTTTCTACTCTAAAGATGTGATATTGGTCTGGATGTTCCGCAGACACTTGGTATATCAAATATGTCGCTTTCCCGCTATAGTCTGGCCGCGGGACCTTCGGAGAGTGCCAGTTGCACAGATTGGACGGACGTATCGCAGAAGAATGGCGGACTCACAGTTGTGCAGGCCTGAATGAAGTACTTTCCGACGGGGGTGCGATTGTACATGGTGTAGAAGGATGCGACTTCGTAGACGCGCTGGGGGGGCATCTCCAGCATGCGGGCGACCTCGTTCATGACGCTGATGCTGGTGAAGCCGTGCTGACGCTGGCCAAGGTCGAGGATAGGCATGACGGCGGCCTTCTTGTATTGCGGCGGGTAGCGCTTCAGGATCTCGTCGATGACGGCCTCATTCTCCTTGGTGAACTTGAAGGGGACATCGGCGTTGTTTTTCGGGGAGTCGCGGTGCTGTTCGGACAGGAGAGCGTTAGCGATTGACTCGGAAGACAAGGTCTAGAAGTAGCGATTTCTGAATATCGGAGAGCCCTCGCAGCATCGCTACAAGGACAATTGACGTCGGAAAGCGAGGCGGCTTACCACTTGGAGGGTGTCGCTGGGGCGGACGGCTGTGAGGGAGAAGGCGCGGAACTGGGGCCTCGCCGCCCGACACGTTGCCGAGCGGAGGGCTGATCTGAAGAGGAGAGGTGAGAGTCTGGAGGCCATGACGAGGGACGGTGGGTGGCTGCTCAATTGGCGATGGCGGCGAGAGGGCGAGGGGGACAGGCGACGCTGGGCTTTGGGATATTGCGGATATGTGCTGTTCGTTTAGATTCGGGAGGTTCAAAAGTCGTGAGCTCTGCTTGGATAATGGATTGCTGTGATTGGTCGAGCCGGCTACTGTGTGCTTAGGTAATGTTCTGGGTCGGTGGAGGCATAAGAGGCAAAAGCTCGACGAGTAAGCGTCATTGAGACTTGCACAACTCGCGCATAATTGGGATTATGCAGGCCCCCGTTGAATCCGTGGCGTTGGGCCCGTCTGGCCAATGCTTGTTCAACCCTTGTGATGCAGCCAAACAGCTTATCGGCGTCTCTCTCTCTACGGATACATAAATTGGACCAGCAACCTGTCACCTGTATACGAGTTTCCGCAACAAGCAACAATGCGATGGACACCAACCTCAGAGGCCTTTGCAGCAAATTGAGCAGCCTTCAAGCGGACTAGAAGTTATACAAATGTGACCGACCGCCTTGACAAGCTAACCCATCTATGACGTGGCTCCCAATGCCACTGGCACAGTCAGACATCTCAGCTTTTGCAGGTATTCATTTGCAAGCCTGGCCTGGGCAATCGACCAAAGAACTCAGCAAAACGGCGATGAAGCAAGCTAATTGAAGCCGACAGAAGGCTAGCATACTACTAAAGAAACAATAAGCACCTAAAACCTACCCCATTTCTTGCAGACGTTGCTAATCGATCACAACCGAGTCTCTACCTCGGAGAGAGGCGGCTCCAAAGCGAGACGTCGGCCGTCTCTGGATTAGTCTGCTTACAAAGATTGAGGACCTAGCTTGTCAAAATCACCCAGAATATCGGTTGGAATGGCAGCGATTGGCCAATGCAAGGTTGACTCAAGCCTCAAACCTCGTGCGACCATAATCTTGGGGTACTCGTAGATCCAATGATTCAATTGCGAAGATTCCCATTTGACGAGACGTCTAGTTTAAGCTTGCCAAGAGTACACATAAGAGAGGTGAGGAGGCACAATGGTCTCCGCTTCTGTCCGCTTACAAGGTCACTGGATGACATCAAGTGGAACACCTGTTCTGGCAGTGGATTACCCAATTGTGGCTCTATCCCAGCGTCTGAGACAGCTCGCGGCAGAACTGAGAGCTCTCGTCTCGTCAGAGACCTCAAAGGACGACTCGCTGTATCTCGGTGTTTTAAACAAGCGAGTCTCCAGATCTACATTGCCTGGGATCGGTTGGTACCCTCCCGTCCAGAGTCTTCGGCCGCGATTCGTCCTAGACCTTTATCAGACAAGAGTGAGTGGGTGTGGCACCCAATCGCGAAGTTGAACGAAATGGAAACCCTTTCAGGAAATAAGACGTGCCGTTGTCCGTCCGGTCTTTACGTCGTGCTTTACTCCTCAACCCCCAACTTTTCCGGTAGCTCGTACTACGGATTACCCGCCATGCCTCGGTTCTTCTCCCATCTTCCCCAGCTTTGCCCAGACGCATAGCTCAGAACCCCCGCATCGACAGGGGTCTGATGCGGAGATCTAGCGTCACGAAGCCTGGAGGTGCTTCCCCCCCAGGTTTAGATGCATCACTTGTAAGCCATGGTCTCGCCGGAAAGGACACGGCCATTGGCCGATAGGGGCGCGGGGGGTTAATAATCTGGGGTTTCGTCTGGAGCTCCTTCGCCTGGAAGAGTATCCGTAGGCGTGCAGTGATAATGGGACTAGAGAGAAATCCACTTTGGAATTGCCGTCTTCCCCGTCTCCTCATAGCACCGGTGGTATTTATTTCAGCTGAGCGTCTGCCGGCTGCTACCTGTCTCGGTGCCTCTTTCCCTGTAGACAAGAAAAAGACGAAGACAGATTCTCTCTGTGATAAGACAAACTGTAAGTTGCGGATCCTGCTCATTCTCTCACAGAGACGCCCCTCACAGTCGCTGACTCAATCAAGTTCAGTAATATTATATTCTTCTTTCCAATCCAACGAGCCGCGGTCAAGACACGGACTGGGATCGCCAGAGAAGCTCAGAACTTTATTACAGCAGATCTCTTCAAACAACGGCGTCCGTTCGCCTTCCGTCCCGCCTCCGGGGAGAGCTTCATATCGCGCTCCAATCTCCAAAAAAAAAAGACAGACCTACCTCACAAACGCCAAACGCTTCACTTGAAATCGTACCCTCATCTTCTTCTTGGGTAACAATATCCTTTTGAACCGCCCGACGGCAAGCTATCGTTTGAACAAAACCACACATCCATACTCCAACATGCCTATCGAATCACGGTGGTCGGAGCCCATTCCGAATTGCTCGCTGCAGACATGGATCTTCGGTTCCTCCAAAGCTCCCCTCTCCGATCGCAAAGCATTCTATGACGCCGACAGACCAGACACCCACTTCCTGACCTTCTCCGACTACCGCCTCGTGGCGAAGCAAATCGCCCTCGGCCTACAAGCGGCGGGCCTCAAGCCCGGCGAACGCGTCCTCCTCTTCTCGGGCAACAACCTCTTCTTCCCCGTCGTATTCCTCGGCGTCCTCATGGCCGGCGGCATCTTCACTGGCGCCAACCCGACCTTTGTGCCCCGCGAGTTGGCCTACCAGCTCAAGGACAGCGGCGCAACCTTCATGGTCGCCGCCGAAGGCAGCCTCGACACCGCCCTCGAAGCGGCCAAGGAGGTCTCCATGCCCGCCAGCAACGTCTTCGTCTTCGACACCACGGTGCCCGGCTCTAGCGCGCCCGAGAAGCCCGCGCGGGGCGGCGCCCGCCACTGGACGGAGCTCATCGCCCCGAGGGCGCAGGCCGAGACATTCGAGTGGGTCGAGCCGGCTGACGCGCGCACGACGACGTGCTGCCTCAACTACAGCTCCGGCACGACGGGCGTGCCCAAGGGCGTCGAGATCTCCCACTACAGCTACGTCGCCAACGGCACCGGCGTAGTGAAAGTGGCGGCGCTGGAACCGGACCACGAGGCCTCCGTCGCCCGCTCCGTCGGCCTCTGCTTCCTGCCCCTCTACCACGCCTACGCGCAGACGTACTTTGTCGCCAACTTTGCCAAGCAAGGGATCCCCGTCTACATCATGACCGGCTTCGATTTTGTCAAGATGCTCACCTACATCCAAAAGTACCGCGTGACGCAGCTCGTCAGCGTGCCCCCGATCCTCGTCGCCCTCACAAAACACCCAATCACCGCCAAATTCGACCTCAGCAGTCTCGAGACCGTCGGCTCCGGCGCCGCGCCCCTCGCGGCGGACGTGGCCCGCCAGACGGAGCGTATCCTAAAGAAGCAGGATCTCATCGTCCGCCAGGGCTGGGGCATGACCGAGGTCACCTGCACGGCCATGACGTGGGACCCGAACCGCCTGATCCGCAGCGCCTCTGTCGGCGAGCTCATGCCCAACTGCCAGGGCAAGCTCGTCGACCCCGAGACGGGCAAGGAGGTTACCGAGGCCAAGGTTCCCGGCGAGCTCCTGATCACGGGCCCGACTGTCATGCGCGGCTACTGGCGTAACCCCAAGGCCACCAACGAGACCATCGTTACCGACGCTCAAGGCAACCGCTGGCTGCGGACCGGTGACATTGCCTACATCGAAGAGTATAACACGGGCGGCCTCTTCCACATCGTCGACCGTATGAAGGAGCTCATCAAAGTAAAGGGCAACCAGGTGGCCCCAGCTGAGCTGGAAGCGTTGCTTCTTGAGCGTCAAGACGTGGCCGATGTAGCCGTCATCGGTGTTACCATTGACGGAGAGGAGTTGCCGAGGGCATACATCGTCCGGTCAGCCGATACCAATGCTTCTGGGGAGGAGATTGCAGAGTGGTTGGCAGGTCGGGTCGCCAAGCACAAGCGCCTCAAGGGCGGTGTGTCGTTTACCGATGTGATTCCCAAGAACCCTGTAAGTCTTGCTCCGTTTTTGCTTGTATGATGATAAGGCTAACAGTGAAAACTAGTCCGGTAAGATCTTGCGAAAGATTCTTAGAGAAAAGGCCAAGAAAGAAGTTCGCGACTCGGTTGCAAAGCTATAGAAATGGGGTCGTTGACAAGAGATGTTGTACCTATTATTGAAGGGCACTCAAAGGTGGAAAGGGTTTACATAGCTTCAAAGTAACATAACAACTTAGGAAGAACAAAGTCACCAACCTCAAGAGTGGCTCCCAGTTGGGAACTTCCGATAATGTTACATAAATTCGTCTATAACGTTCCACTGACTAGAGCTACCTTTCGCCCACCTTCCAAATATGTGGCTCACTTGAAGTGAGCAATAGGGTATCGTCCATACTGTACAGAACCCTTCCGTTGCTAAACCACCATGAACTCCCTGCCCCCTTGTTACTTTGATGATAGCGTGCACAAATCATGCCGCCCTCCTCTATCCCTCAATGCAGGATAAAGAACGACGAAAAAAAGAAAAAAAAAAAGCCCCGACCAAACTTGCCAAACGGCGAAAAACCCAATGACGCCTTGCCTGATGCCAATGCTTATGAAGCTCGATGCTGGAAACCATGATCTTCGATGGTGTCAAGATAACACCTCGATCAACCCTTTCGGCTTCGACGTGGCCGAAGTGACCTTTTATTCCAGCCCCACAAGCGCCCCCAATCTTTGTAGATAGGACCGATACCCTTGAGAAAGCGCTTGGCGTAGACCTTGTCTCTCTTAGCAACCCATGACCGTGCTGGTGGTTGTCCGTACTATGATCCAACTGCCAGACACGAATCGAGAACAGAGTCAAGGGAGCTCATGTCTTGAGGCTCTGCGCCTTCCCACCAGGGCTCCGAGTCAATTTCCATTGCATCGACATGACCGTTGGGTAGCTGCTCTGTGATGACCGGTTTGATATCAGAGGCTTCCTTCTTGGCTCCAGGAGGTTCGAGGCCTGGTAGCCAGGTGTAGTCGTGCCAATTCTCGAGCTCTCCTTCACGGTAGCCATACGATATGGCTGTATTGATGATGGGGAACTGCGCCAAGCCACTATCGGCCATCTCCAAGGC